ATACACAAAAACTTCATCGAGGACTCTGAAACCATAACGCATTCGCTTAGAACTCTGCAAAATCGGCGACAAATCCTAACCTCACATCTGACTTTTGTGAAAATTACTCGCAAAGACCAGCTGCTTGACCAGGAATGGGCAGATCTCCCCAAAGATTCACTTGAGGGTGCGTGGTGTTGTCCCTCCACCTACACGTCCCAACATTTTTTTTTCAGGCCGCGTCCACGAGTTCATGTGCCAGTGTGTGCACAGTTCCAAAGGGCAGCTTAAAAAGGGAGGGCTGATGACCTTTGGGGCGCTGCTGGATTTGCGTTGGAGTTTACTGTGGCTGGCGGGTTGCCTCCACCCCCAAAGAAACCGCCATCTGATTATAGACAGGTTTTGGACAATGGTCATGATTTGGACCAAAAGCATTGGACCGACCTCACATATCGCGTACGCCTGGACCCCTTCCTGTTTACAATGCACAATTAACAAAGTTCAGTGGGCAAAAGCGTTACAGCGTCGATACCAACTCCCGTCGCTCCAAGCCGAGAAGCTTATCTTCAGTTACGACGAGATCCATCTATTGGTGGAGGAGATGCTGTCCCACCCCAAACTGTGGGACAATGTGCATCTGCGCAATATTCCTATACACACCCTGCTGATGCTATGCCCACAGTCGCTCCAACATGCATCCACATGCATAATGCAATATCTCTTTGGCCCGCGGCCTTCGTTGTTGTTCCTGACCCCACCCTATTCCACTTATTTGCAGTACAAGGTATGTTGTTCGTCTCACCCGACCCAAATATGTATAGCTGACATTCAAAAGAGCATGTGACTGCGCTGAAACAGCGGAGGTTGAGGTCTGTTCGACCTCGAGGTCACAATGACAGTGTTCAAGGGACATTCAGAGTCCAAAATCAGAATTGTATACTCCATCTGCCCGCCCACATTCCTGCGTAGTCTCTTCCTCTATCTCGCAAGCTTCGTGGTAGTGTTGGGGATCCGCCAGGGCGACTTCCAGGACCACACGACCATCCAAGATCTGCTAGATGGTACAGAGGACCTGATTCAGTGGCGCGACCCAGAATTGCTGTTCTTTAGGGCGGCGGGACCACACAGGCTCTCCGTGACGCAGAATCCTATGTCCTCTAATGGTGCTCGGATGTTCCTACACAAGACTGCAGCAGCCATCGGGATGGACGGTGCGTCCAGCGATCTCATACCACCTAACAATTGTACTTAATGAGTCATGAACAGGTGGAGGTGAGAACCAGCGTACTGCGACCGCATACTTGTTCCGGACAAATTTCGCGACACAATTCAAGAAAGCAGCTGGCAAGGATGCTGCCGTCAAGGCTATGGGTCATTGTGCAGGATCTAACACAATTTGCGAGAATTACGATGTCGGGAACCAATCCTTAGATTTTTTTGGAATTGGGTCTGGTGAAGGAGAGGACTCTCCGGACTTTGGACACAATGCGGCCGTTGACGCAGCGCCGGTGGATGTTCCACGACTCAGTCTAGCACAGCTGGTCGAAATCGTCCCAATGATTGCAATTTATCTCAAGCAAGCTCAGAACCTCCACAGCTACATGGTGCTTGGCAGTAGTGATGGCTGGGAGCAGTTGGTTGTAAGCACCTGCTTATTCTTTGGCTCCCTATCCCTGAATTCTTGCACAGTACGAGCAGGAGACAGAATTTGGAAGACACCGACACCCCCGAGAGTGTCTATGCATATACCGTCAACAAAGCGAAGCGATTAGCTGCACAAGCTCAGCTCACCCACGCCAAAGAAGTCAGAGAGCAAGCCGCAAAGGACCGGTGCCAGAACATCACGGCAGAGGAACGCCGCAAGCGGATCACAGTTTTGCAGCAGCCATCTACACTCACCGAGATTTTGCAGCAAGCCCGGGACAAGATGCTTGAACAAGGACTTCCAACTGGTGAGATGAACAGAGACGACAGAGACGACAAGGACAACACAGAGCTTGAGTTATCTGTGGAGGTTCAAAAGCCAGAGAACGAGCAGATTGACAAGAAGGACGAACAATCTATCACTGCCGTCCAGAAGGAGGCAATTGAAATGATGGAGTAAGCTTAGTGTTCTTTCTTTCATGATGCCCGGGCTCACAATAGTCCAGAAATCTTGCGAGCCTTCAAGTTGTCAAGCAAAAACTTTTCTGTAATGAGTGGTGCGATGACTTGACCTGTGGTCCCGAGGAATGGGAGGTCAACCATCGTGATCTCTCCCATCTGACATACCATTGCAAGTCGTATCACAGCCCCACTGCACGTTCTCGGCGCTTCCTTGAGCAATGCAAGGCTCTGAACCTGGCTGACCGCAACCATTTCCGCTGCCCCTGGCCCGCGTAATGCGAGCCAGAGGAAGCTGTTGATGACAATGACAACTCCACCGATCTCGACGAGACAAGCTGGCTCAGTCTCAAGAGTTGGCGCTCAAAGATCACTTTGATCAAGCACATACTCGAGGAACATTGTGATGGGGAATTGACCCAAGATATGCGCACTTGCTTTGAGGCAGTGCGTGACAACCACCAGAAGCAGCTCGAGGCCAGGGAAATGCAGGCGAATCAGGATGAAGACTCTGTAGATGAGCAGCAGCTTGACAACACCGAGAACGACCTGTGGGTGTGTCCAGAATGCCGGGTTGACCCCTCACTCCCATCTGATTGTTGCATTGTGTGCATGGCCACTCCATCGCACATTAAGAAACATCTAAAAGCAAGAATCCATCATGCGGATGCTCGCGCTATTCGCATGCTCATCAAAGACGGCGGCGGCAAAATTTCAGTACAGAGTACGACCTGTCCGTATTGCCACCACTTTCACAGAACCCTCTACGACGTCTGTGTCCATATTATGCACATTGGGCATGCCCTCATTGCACACAATGTCCTACCTATCTATGAGGCGCTCGTGGACTCCTTCCATGATTCTACCTGTGACAGCGTGATGGAAGAGCAACGCCGAGCGGCTATAACCAACATTTTCACAAACTGGAACACATTCCCTCCAACCCTCGATGATCTTTTCATACCTTGGTATGACCCCGTCGCGCCTCTGGTGGGAGGGGACGAGCAAGAGTGTCTCCAGAAGCTGGACCGCATCTCGTTGGATTGGGGACCCGATGTGATGGAGATGGAGGTTGAGGCGGCGCGATGGGTGGATGAGGCGGGCTGGGAGGTCACAGAGACGAAGGCCTGGGCAAACTCGGACTCAGACTCTATGGACACTAGACAATAATTCCACTGTGCCTTAGAATCCAAGCCAAAATTTTGAGACTTGTGTTGCGCCCATCTTACAATTTGCAATACCAGAGAATACAAATGTGTACTTCATTTGTTGTGTAACAGGATACAAGTGTGCATGTCAAGTTGTATGAGAGAACAGAAATGCAAGTTTGGCAAGTCCAGGAATATGGGAAAAATAATGCAAGTGTCGGTGTCAAGTCATACAAGAGAAAATGTGAGCTTGGGAGAAAAATAATGCGAGTGTCCGTGTCAAGTCATACGAGAGGAAATGCGAGTTTGGTGAGTGCAGGAATATGGGAGAAAAGAAATGTGAATGTATACATCCAGTCATAAGAGGACGATCATTGTGGTGCATCCCCAGCCGCCAGCTCACGGAGTGCGAACTCACGCTCCCTCAGTGTGAGATCCCGCACCTTCAACTTGAGTTCCTCCTCCTTCAACACGATCTCACGCTCCTGAAGGGCCAGTTCTTGCGCGCGTGTTTGAAGCCCAGCATCCTGATGGCGCTCCTCAGAGGCGTGCACGTCAATGTTGTGGGCTAACAAGCGCTCTTTGTGCAAAAGGTGCTGGGTGTCTAGGTATTTTCCGTAGCCATCAAGATAAACTTGGGTATGGGGGAGATTGCCCGCTGGCAACTCGCCCTGCATCTTCATTGCTGTCCTCAACGTGGGAAAGTATTCTGGGTTCCCCTGGATCGCAGGGCAATAGTAAGTGCTGAACTGAACGACGAGAAAAGCTGAATGTCACGCACGACAGCAGGATCCAGAGTTTGCACTGTATCCTTCTTGGTGCACTTCAGCTGGAATGATATGATTAACCACTCAGGAATGGTTCAAATGGTTGGTCCTGTACCTTGTTGACAGCTGGGGTAGGTGGGGACGCTTTGCCATCATCTTCAGTCGCGGCGTGCTCTACCGTGTGAGTGTTGGTCTACCCGCGGCGTCAGCCACAGCGCAGAAGACGTAAGGCATGTGTACCTTATTGGCGGACGCCGGCATCGAAGCTGTACTCTCCTTGGATTTTTTGTTTGCCTTGCCTTTGGTAGATTTCTGTGGCTTTGGTGATTGTGACAGTCAGTCATGCAAGTCGAATCGGTCAGACGAAGTGTGCACCTTTGCGGAGGGGTCTTTGTTAGGTTTAGGCTGCGTGGTCGCACGTCCAGATCCCTTCTTGGGGGCTTTGGCTGGCGCCTTCCCGGGAGAGTCATCAATAGTCACGATATCCGCCTGCGAATTGGATTAGCACAAGAAACCTGCATCGGCAGGAATGGAGTACGCACGTGTTCCTTGCCCTAGAACACCAGAATCAATTGGTTATATCACTACGGGATTAATTTGCATCACCTTCCCCTTCTCCTTCAAGGTAACAATTTCTACCGAGACATCCCGTTCAAGCATGCTTTCCTGAGAATGGTTCATATCTGGAAGGTTTTCCTTGTCCGAGTCATAGGAGCTGCTGCGCTGAAGCTGCAGTAGATGAGTAGGTGATTGTGTCAATGGTTTAAACACACCGGAGCTTTTTTTGCTGGTGGCTTTGGATCTTTCTCCTCATCGCTCTCTTTGTGCCCGCGCTTCCTGAACAGGCCACATTGGGGGTAAACAACAAAAGCACTGCAGCAAAATGACTCACACTCCTGCCGTGCGACGACTCACTCTGTTTCAATCGTCAGTGATGCACATTCTGAAAATTGACGAGATACACCATACTCCTCGGAGCAATGAGAACAAAAAAGAACAAAAATGATCAGAGTGGGATTCGAACCCACGCCCCGGAGGACCAGATGTCACACGTATCGTGACAATGTTGCTTCAATCGAAGCTGATCCTTAGTCTGGCGCCTTAGACCGCTCGGCCATCTGACCCTTGCATACCGGTCGCCGCCATGCTTTGCTCGCCCCGCCCCACTGCTATTGCAATGGTCCACTGCGGCTTTGTCGTCATGACTATATCGGGAAGAAAGTGGAGTCGTGTTGACGATTGTTGCTGCACCACAGCCACTGATCGCGACCTGTCGCGGCCATCACCTTGCTTCCGACGTTGTTCCAACTTCGACCCCATGCTCAAATTCCAGGTCAATGCGCCGTTCACATGTCAAAGACCCCATAAATATGAGTCCACCAACGTGACGCACGCACTGTCTCCCTTCCATCAATGTACTGGGAACTTGTCCTGGTTGGCATTGGCTTTCTCTGCCTACGGCGAATTTTCTGGCTGCTGAAACTATCCCGAGCGAGCTCTCCTCTTGGTTCATTATGTCTTTACTGACCAAATCAAAAGGATTTCAACTTCCCACAGATATACACTCTCTTCCAGCCGTTCGCCTTGCCAGGGCGTTTGTTTCCAACCACGTCGTGGAATACTGGACCTAACTGGCACTGGGTACGACGTTTTCAGAGTGATGAAAACTGCTTTTTCCTGGAAAACCATTAAAATTACCCGATTAGCGTACTCTCGCGGTGAAACGGTCAACCTTATTCCCTTCTTATCTGGAACTCCAGGGCTTTGGACCTCCAACATGGATGTTGGCCGCCAAATAGCAGCTGGAGGACAACGATCTAGCTTTATCAAACCTGCCAGTCCCTTTTTTCTGTAAGAACATCTTGGATGAAGGCTGCAATTCTGAGTTACTCCTCTCAGCGCTTGGGGCATGAACTTGGCTGCCGCAGAAGGGCCAATGTGGCGAAAGCATAGGCGCATCGTCGGCCCCGCGTTCAGCACAGACTTGTGAGATATATTGTGGCTTTGAGCCCGAAGAATCACCTTGCACACAGATACAAACTGGTTTGGAACAACACGAGCAAGACCTATCGAGAGATGGTGGAAGTGGAGAGATGGAAGGATGCCGTCAATATTCCCGTCATCCAAAAGATCACTCTCAAGGTCAGTATTATTCGAGTTGTATTAACTTTGCTCACGTTACGTAGTTCACCTTCCTGATTATATGTACCTCTGGATTCGGATTTCAATCTACTTGGTTCTTCATCGTTTTACAACTCTATGATCCAACTAACGAAAATCAAGGGATGCTCCTCCACAAGCTGCTGACGGTGGCATGTCTGTACAGGAGGCACTCAAACTTGTCGCCGAGACCTACTTGCTCTCTCTTGTCGTCCCTAAATGGTTCATGTATCTCCCAATTCCAAGGTAAGAAGTTACGCACCGCCCTCCATTCCATTTATCCGTGTGCCTAGACTGAGAGCGGCCCGCCTCGCGCGCCAGAGGATACGTAGCTACATGCAAGAACAGGTTATCGAGAAAAAGGGTTTGGTGGCCAGTGGTGATACGCGTGCCGATGCTTTCACAATGCTTGTGAAGGCAAACCAAGACGAATCAAGCAAATATCGCCTTGAGGATGAAGAGCTAGTGCGTCTGCATTCCTTCGGTTTTCATCTCGCTGAGACGTGTTTTCAGATCGGAAACGTTTTCCTCTTCATGTTTGCAGGTCATGGTGCGTCTCGTCGAGTTTTCTGTCCTCAATATTCACGGTTTTATAGAAACCACGGCTCACACTCTTGCTGCGACCCTTGGCTTCCTGACAATCTACGAGGAAATACAAAATGAAGTCGTACAGGAGATAATGTCTGTTGTCGGCCTCGATCGTGATCCTGTACGGGAGGGGCAAGTTAATTTGTTCTTGCGCGCTTGAATAAGCTTCCACCCAGGACTTTACCGACTATTCCAAGCTGGACAAAGTCCTTGCGGCCTTCTACGAGGCCACGCGCATGTTTCGTAGGTTATTCATTTATGCATCCAAGCCACGGTGGTTGAATATTTTGATTGGAAGCTGCTGGCCATATTCTTATTCGCGAGGCGACGGAAAACACAGTTCTGACCATTCCTAATCCTGTGGGAAAAGAGGGCGACAAGACCATTCCCATTCCGAAGGGTACACAAGTACATCCTTCAATTCTTCCCCTCCACTTGCCCTGACATCCAATAGATTATGCTTGACATGATAGGTGTCCGTGGGTGTTTCCGTTCCTCAACCAGCTTTCGGCTGATTGCTATGTGACTAGAATATAATCCTCGTTATTTTGAAGACCCGCAGACGTACAAGCCGTCGCGATGGTATGGTCTCCCCGCGGACTCGGAGCAATTCACTGCATTCAGCGTTGGTAGGCCGTGCGTTCTCTCGCCTTCTTGGTGAACTGAATCGCTGCGCTGCAAGGACCCCGTGCGTGCATTGGTCGTAAATTTGCGACCGTCGAAACGACGTGCTTCCTTACTCTCCTCTTGCGTGACTGGCAAGTTTTGCCTATTCTGCGCGACGGTGAAACCAAGAAGGCGTGGGCCGCACGTGTTATGGACACGCATGTAGTTTTGCTGCTTGGAGTGGCAGATTTTCCGGTCAGACTCGTGAAGAGAAAGCATTTGGGAGAGCATCAAATGGCATTTGTTTGATTTGCTTTTGAATATGAATTCCTGCACCATTATTTCGCGCTAAACGTGTGAGCTGGCAAAAAGCGGCCCGAAGCGGAACGTAAACCTCGCTTGGACACGACCACATGCCCAACCTGAAGCCTGCAGCCTTGCTAGGCGGCACATTCATCGCAGGGACTTGATTCTTTTAAGCTCTCGTATCCAAACTCATTTTCAATTCAGTTCTCGCGTATTTCATCGGTTGCAGCCAGGTTCCGCTAAGTGTCTGCCCTGCTGGCTTGCATTCCTGGCGCCATTCTGGGTCTCAACTCGTCAACAGTACTGTTTTCTACGGCAGTAAACGCGAGCGATTTGAGCAGACATTCGCAATCGTTCGCCAAGAGCTTTTGGACGCATTTGCGGCCCAAGGCGTGCCGGACGACGCGCAGAGGTGGTATGAGCGCGTCAGTCTCGACTCGTTTAGTTTGCTGTCACTGGTATTCATTTGGTCATCCCAGAATATCAACTATAACGTCCCTGGTGGTAAACTGAATCGCGGGCTTTCCGTCGTGGACTCTGTAGAAATCATCAAGGGCGGCTCGCTCTCTGATCGCGAGTTTTTACAGGCGGCCGTTCTGGGATGGGCCGTCGAGTTTGTGCGTATCGGGACGCACGTCTTTTGAACAGAAGCTCAATCGTATTTAGCTCCAGGCGTTCTTCCTTGTCATGGACGACCTCATGGACGAATCTGTCAAGCGTCGAGGGCAGCCGTGTTACTACCGCATTCCAGAGGTCGGATCGATTTCAGTCAACGACGCGGTGCTGCTCGAGTCCGCCATATATTCCCTCCTGAAGCTTCATTTCCGCAATGAGACATATTACATCGACCTGGTGGAGCTTTTCCATGAGGTACATAACGCTCCCTTCGTTCTACCGAGACTAAAGCACTGGACAGACGACCTTCCAAACGGGAACAGGGCAGCTGCTGGATCTCATCACCGCTCCGAAATCTGTGGACCTGTCCAAGATGTCGCTCGAAAAGTGGGTTCCGCATGGCGCTGCTAGCTGGATAATAACTTGTTCAGCAGATTCCAGCTCATCGCCCGCTACAAAACCGCATATTACTCGTTTTACCTCCCCGTTGCACTCGCCATGCTGATGAGCGAGGTCCCGGAAACATACCAGTCTCAATCGAGCGGCGAAACGGTTCATGCGTACAAGGTCGCGCGATCAATTCTGCTACCCATAGGCGAATACTTTCAAGTGCAAGATGATGTCCTTGACGTGGTGGGCGCGCCGGAGCAGATTGGCAAGGTTGGCACGGATATCGTCGACAACAAGTGCTCGTGGTGCATCAACACCGCATTGGCCGCCGCGTCCCCTGACCAGCGTGCCATTCTGGACGCCAACTATGGCCAGCGAAATGCGGCCTCGGAGGCGTTGGTCAAGGCCGTTTTTGAGGAGGTCGGCCTGTGGGAAAAGTACCAAGCGTATGAAGAGAAGGTATACGCGGAAATCATGGCCTTAATTGAAGGTGTTCCAGAGGACGACGGCATATATCTGAAGAGGCAGATTTTCATCGGTTTCTTAGAAAAGATTTACAAGAGACAAAAATAATCATAGGTTCGTCCGAGAGCTTAGACGGGCCTCCTCCTTGCCAGCTTGATGGGGAAATCTGCCGCCTTCATCGTTATGCTCATATGTATTTTGTTTATGATGCGGGCGCCCCACGCCTCTTTGGTCTCGCCGTCGCGGAGGACGGGCAACACTTGCTAGTCGCGCAAAAGCAGCGTCAGGAAACACGTCGCCTCGACGGTCGCAAATTTTCGGCCGAGGCAAGCGCGGGGTCCTTGTGGCAAGCCATCTGAGATGAGATGAGATTCATGACGAGGCAACATGACGCACCGATGCTGAATGCGGTGAATTGCTCCGAGTCGGCGGGCAGACCATACCAGCGCGACGGTTTGTACGTCTCGGGGTCCTCGAAATAACGGGGATTGTATTCTGGTAAGAGAACGTGAGCGGGGACTCTAAGAAAAGAGCAACATGGAGATGGGTACGCACGGACGCCAATCATATCAACTACGATCTGGTTCGGGTCAGGCGGTATCAGAGGCGGAGGATCGAGGTACATACTTCAGTACCCTTGGGGATGGGGATGACTTTGGTGCCCTCTTCGCCCACGGGGTTTTGGACCGTTAGAACCGTGTCTTCCGCCGCCTCGCGGATGATGGCGTGGCCAGCAGCTTCGATCCGAAATTAATTAATCCAGCGGACGGAGACATGAGGACTCACGGATCAAGCGCGTGGCTTCGTAGAAAATTGCAAGGACTTTGTCTAGCTTGGGATAGTCGCTATATTCCTGCGTTTTATGTGTTACGGTTAGGTGATCAAAGAAAGGCAAGAGTCCTACAGGGTCGCGATCAGGACCAAGCACGGACATTATTTGCTCCACAACCTCATTCTGTATCTCTTCGTGGATCGACATGTACCCCATAGTTAC